AACATTGTGGGAATTAACCGTGACTTAAATATGATATTTAAATAGATATGGCTAATCAAAGAAAGGGTTGTGGGTAAACCGGTGGAATAATTAAAAGAACGATTGTGGGAATAGGTATAGTTTGGTTTAGCCCTTTTCATTGATTTTCGTTTGGTATGAGCGCACGCTAAAGTTTCGTACAGTTCGCTCGTACCCACGGTAAGCCGTCTGAGCTAGGTACTTGTACGTTGATGAATGCTTATCGAGGCACTTGCTATACAGATAAACATGGATGCTTACCGAAAAGCCGGATTGTTTTTATAAGCATTTGTGTAAACACTTGGCACTGTAGATGTCTAATAATGATGTGTTTCCCTTGCTAGATAGGATATTAAAAATATTTTTTTTAGAAAAGGAGGATGACCCCCGGCCTCTGCATCTGAACGATGTATGCATCCACTTTATTAATTATTCACACAAGACCTTATAAAGTCATACAACAGTAAGACTAAAGTCATTGTCTAGGCAACATCTGTCGCTACTCCTATCCAGTTGATATAGGGATGCAGATAGTTTGGTCTAATACCAAACAGACCTCACAGCCAAACTTAACATCTAAGACCTGAGGTCCCAACCAGGACGCTTGCCGGGTATGGGGCACCCACCAGTCCGACGCACTTCTCAACTAGGAGGCTTGTCGGGTATGAGGCCGTCGCAGCCACCTGGCATCAATCCATCTTCAGTGATGTACTGCTGCATCTACCTTGCCCGGTCTAGCTGCCGTCGACGCCACCACGATGCCAGACAATGCCAACATCCTGCGCTTGTCCATCATCACACTCCCACCGGCGAGACCCCGCAGCTCCATGCCGCTTAGACCCGCCGTTATCGACGTGCCAGATGCCACGCTGCTCCTCCGACGCGAAACACCACCTGTTGCCGCTGGTCCCATCCCCTCCGCCTGCAGTTCCTCAAACCGAGCACCCAAACTCCCTAGGCGGCGCCTCCAAGAGTACGACACACGCAGTGCCGCCCAATCTAAGGAGATTTAGGGTTTTCACCCGGGCATGGGGTCGAGGTGGAGGGCAAGGACCTCGACGACGCCTGCAAGGAGGAGAACGGCCACCCTGATCATCGCCGCCGTCGAGATGCACGAGTCATGCAGAGTTTCCTCTGGTCTGATGTCACCTCTACCAGCCCCCGCGTATACAACGAGACCGACGATCGCGATCGTAAGCCACCAACTGCAGCGGGAGAGAGTCTGCAGCGCGGAGGAGGTCCACCGGCGACTCACCGCCCACGCGATCAAAACACCGTCCATCCACCCCCATGAATGTCGCCAGCCGAGGGCGACGTCGCCATGCCTAATGGGCCGCTGCCCCTGGTCCAGGTCCCTCCATGAAGGCCAGAGTGGCGAGATCCGCCATGAGCGACGAGATCCGGCACCGCGCGGTCGACGCCCTCGCCCAAGCTCGCCGTCGACCGATCCCGCCGCCGCCGGGAGCCCGCACGCTGCCGAGAGTCCCACACCCATGGATCTGGGCACCCGTGCACCGCCGCGAGCCCACCACCTCCGGGATCCGTCACACCGTTGGAAGGGCCGCACCCCGCGGATCAGGACGCCCACGCCGTCGCGGATCCGGGAACGGGGGGGAGAGACCCTCCGCCACCGTCGCACGCACGGGCTTTGCCCAGCGCCGACCATCGGCAGCGGCAAAGGGGGAGAAGGGCGCTGGAGGGACTAGGCGGCGGCGGCTGAGCCCTCCCGAGTCGCCCACAGGGAGGCGACGCGAGAGGGACGCGGGACTCTCGGTTACGTGTTTTGATTTTGATTTCTTTATTTTTTAGAGGTAGGTTTTTTTAGGGAGTTGGTTTGTTTCATCCGGCCGGGTGCGAGTGCATCAAGGAGCCATTTTGACCTAGTAAAGTTATCCATGTTTTTCTACGAATTAAAATTGCCCACCTCACTACTCTAAAAAATAGTCTGTTGATGTCGCACTTGTTTATTTTCACATCAAAGACTTGCAAAAAGAAGCATCTGCAACTATTTATGGTCTTCTGCTTTCTCTTTCGATCGGGGTTTTAATAGTTTTAGTTTTTTTAGGGATTTTAATAGTTTTAGTTTGCTCCTCCTGCATGACCGATTTAGCTTGATTAGCTACGACAAAGCTTTTTACGTATAAAAGAAAGCCGCATGCTACGCCTTTTTACCAAACAACATAATCCACCTGTAAAGAAATATAAAAGCATTGGCTGCGTGCTAGGTTTTGTTGGACAGAAAGTGAACACCGACTCGGCCTCTTCCGTCGCTCGCGTGAGAGTGACACGGGCGGAGCCAAAAACCTAGCGCCGCCACCGCGAGATTCCACCCCTCCTCTCCCGCCGCCGCCGGAGGAAGCTGCAGGGCGAAGCCGCTGCAGCCGATGGCGGCGGCTGGGGCCTTGCTCGCGTCGTGGGATGGTTCTGGTCACGGCCGAGCCACCCTCGGTGACCGCGGCGGCGGATTTGGCGCAGGTCCTCGGATTCGGCTCGTCCGGCTCCGGTGGCCTGCCTCACCATCGACGACGAGGTGTTGCTGCTCGAGCGCCCCGTGGTCTGCTAGGTGTCGGGGATGGCGGGGTTGGCGCTGGCACCTAGATCCACCTCGTCCTTCTCGGGTGCGTCGGGGGCTGGCCTGCTCCTTTCCTTCGGCGTTGTCTCGATCCGGCCTGCCTCTGTGCACCACTGCATCTTGCGGAGGCCCTCGGCTTCTCCGGCGAGCGGCTGCTCCAGCCCGGGGAGGCGCGCCCCTGGATGTTCCTGTGCTCCATGGGGCAGACTATTTTCTGCCTAGATCCGGCGGGCGGCGATGTGGCCTTGCAAGATCCGGGCAGCATGCGCCTGAAGATGCCGTCGTGGTTTGTTGGTTGCTCACGCTCCAGATGCAAATTTCTGGGTCGACTTGGTCGACGCTCGCAGCAACGACGGCTGTGGCTGTCGTTTTCCTCGCAGAGGTGCCGCCGTGGAGCTGTTTTTCAGCCGCAAACCTCCTGTTTCGTTGTTTTCGGGTGAAAACCTATGGTCGGGCTTGCCGGATCGGGTGGCGGCGGTGTCTCTGGCATCATTCCCTTCTTGGAGGCGCCATCTTGGAAACACAAACTCCGGCTGGTGTTGGTGTGTGTGGATGAAGGAGGTGCGGCTGGTGGTGTGTTTGTGCGGCCGACTGGGGTTGACGTTGGTGTGTGATGTGGTGGTGGATGCCTGCTGTAGGTGGTGGTGGCGTGGCCGGCTTGCGCTGGTGTGCACGGTGAAGCGTTCTGAGTGTAGACTCGGCTCCTTGATGCCCTTCGGCTTCGCCGGCGGTGCCGTTGTTGTGATGTAGCCTCGGCAGTGTGTGACTTTTCGTCCGGGTGTGGACTCGGTCGCTCCTGTTTGCTCAAGACCCTCTTATGGTTGTCGTTGTGTTGCGTCGCTTAGTGCTCCTGGTGTTGTCTCGCCTCATCTTTGCTCAAGGTTGGCGCAAGATGCCTTTCAAACTTGCTAATCGTTCCGATTTTCTGTGGCGGAGCCCCAGTCGAGGTTCGTGTCTGGGATGACACTCGTTGATTGTGGATACTCCTGAGTTGTGCCAATGGGGGCTGGTATGCTCGCCATGCGTTCGGCTGTTTGCAAAGTGTTGGTATTGTGATCTCCCGACGACACCCCATATCTACTTGCGTCTCTCGTGGTGATAGTCTTATGTCTGCTAGCTTGGTCGTGCCTTGTACGGTTTTCAGACCGGTTTTCCTTATAATCGGGTCAATTTGTTAAGGTTTTCGATCCGGTTTTTCTTATAAACTGAATCACTCCTCTGGCATTTTGGTCACTTTGAGTAATATATTCAGGTGGAGGAACTCCCTTTCCCGGTGATTTTTTTTTTAAAAAAAAGAAATATGAAAGCATTTAGATCATTAATACAGAGGGAGCACAACTTGGAGACGACTTATCTATCGACAGAAGTGTGTGCTTAGAGTGCAGTACCTGTCCTTGTGCGCTATTGCGGTGAGCCGAACCTTCTTCACTACGTAGTAGTACATGATCGTCTAACGAACCACACTCAATCCAAGCCCCAGCCAGTTATTAAGGCAACCCAGCCCACCCGCCGTGGACGTGGCCGTTGTGATTCTGATGGGCCACGCAACATTCATGCACGCTCGTACCTCCTTCACCCACCTTCCATCGATCACGCCGTCCATCTCACCTCACCTTGAGATCCGTCGACCGATGCAGGGCCGGTCCGTCGCCGTCCGTCACGGCCGCCGCATGACCCCGGCTCCCTCCCCGTCGTCCAAACCCGCCCGCCCTTAAACCCCAAGCCGGGCCCACCCGCAGCCGCCGCGGAAGGCAGCCCACGGGAGCCAATCCCGTTTCGCGCGCGAACCAGGCCTTCTCAACCATAACCCCCTCCCCCCTAAACCCCGGTGGTAATCACCGACGGGCGGGCCCGGCCCGCCTAATCGCAGCCCACCAATCTACTACCTACACAGCCTGGCCACCGGGCCCGCCGGGGCCCGCATGTCATCGTCGCGGTAAAAGCCGCGGGGGGCAGGCAACAGGCGGGCGTTCGAAAGGGAACGGGAGATCCACGCTCGTACACGACGTATAGCTGGCCATCTTCGCTGACACGGTGGGCCCCGCAGCGCCAGCCTTACCCGCCTCCTCGCTCCCCTCGCTCTCTCTCTCTTGGCACCACACCACCCGCGCTGGCTCTGCTGCCCCTGCAGCCCCCCGAAAGCAACCACAGTCACGTCGCCATCCGTCCGTCCGTCGCCAGCCACGACAAATACATTGCCCCCCCTCCCCCTCCCCCTCCGACTCGCTCCCCATCCACTCCATCCATCCATCCATCCATTCACCAGATGGGACTGGGTCTGGGAGCAAGAGCGGCGGCGGCGGCGGTGGTGGTGGAGCAGTGGTGGTAGTGGCTTCCGCGGTCGTCCGGAGAGGAGGTTTCTTGGCCCCGTAGCGAGTGAGCAGTCGACGGAGGGAAGCTGCTCGTCGGAATGGCGCAGTCGTCGTTGCGGCGGTGGGCGGCGAGGGTGGTGGCGTTGGTGGTGGTTCTTGGGCTGTTGTTGGCGGCGGCTGCGGCGGAGGAGGGAGATGGAGGGGGAGGGGACGGGGCGGCGCTGATGGCCCTCAAGGCGGGCTTCGGCAACGCCGCCAACGCGCTCGCCGACTGGGACGGCGGCCGCGACCACTGCGCCTGGCGGGGCGTCGCCTGCGACGCCAACTCCTTCGCCGTCCTCTCCCTGTACGTGCCCCCTTCCTCCCTCCCCTCTTCTTCTTGTGCTCCTCCGGCTGGCATTGCGGCGCCATGACAAGTGTTTACCTTTGCCTTTTTCTTTTCTCTTTCCGCCGTTCGATTCTTGGCCGTCCCTCTTTCTTGTCTGTGAATGCTCGCTTGCTCTTTGAAAACTTGCTGCTTGCTCCTGCTGCACATCTGAAAACAAAATAAATGTGCTTTCTCTTTCTCAGGGGACCGATTATCCCCTCGGTTCGTTCTCGCACAACAAATGATCCTCTGTTTGTTTCGCTACTTAAGTGTCCTCGAGTACTATTATTTATCTCTGACGAGTGATTGATTTCCTCCATGAAAAATATATATATGCAGGAACCTGTCAAATCTGAACCTGGGTGGGGAGATCTCGCCGGCGATAGGGGAGCTCAAGGCCCTACAGTTCATGTAAGCAGCACAGCGCACCACCACTCCCCCCTCCCCTTGCATCTTCTTAAGATTTTGTGCATTTGACGGCGCCTGAATCTTCCCATCCCCCTCTCTCTCCTTCTTTAAAATATCCATCCGATTTGACCCCTCATGCCGTGATGTGACAAAGCTTCTATACTATTTTATATATCAAGCCTACCAGCCTACCACACCCTCCTTGATTTGATTAATTTATCTCGGCCCTAATAATGATTTGCTTGCTTTGCTTTGCTTGTGCAGGGATCTCAAGGGGAACAAGCTCACAGGCCAAATCCCAGACGAGATTGGGGACTGCGTCTCCTTAAAATACTTGTACGCCACCCAATCCGGGTCTTCTTTTATTGTCCTACTTAGTACTATACTCCCTCCCACCTTTTTGCTGTAGAGATGGATATGGTTCTTGCTAGTACCAGTAGTATTTTTATAGTTGACCTGTGCCTCTTCTTGCGTGTGTATGTGTGTGTGTGATACAGGGATTTGTCCTTCAACCTGCTGTATGGAGACATCCCCTTCTCCATCTCCAAGCTCAAGCAACTCGAGGATCTGTAAGCACTGGATCATCATTTGTTTATCTTGCCTGTCCTTTTGGCACAGCCATGCCTTCTTCTGAGAATTTGATCACTTTTTGTTTTGGGTTATACCAATGAATGATAGGCTACTTGCTTTTATCTGTTTTTATGGACATTTTTGGGGCGCAAAGCATGGTTTGGGGTTATAACAGAAATATTGCTGTGAAACTAGTTTGAGTTTTGATTCACTGTGGCTTATGGATTGCTGTCAAGTTTCTATGGTTTAGAGTGCTTCAGTTAAGATGTTTACTTTTCTCTTTACTCTGGCTGCAGGATTCTGAAGAACAACCAGCTCACGGGACCCATCCCTTCCACACTGTCCCAGATTCCAAATCTCAAAATCTTGTGAGTTTCCTAGTTACCTTTCTTTCCTCGTGACTCTACTTATTGTTGGATTCTTTGGCAAACTTGATGATCTTCCTCTTCTTACCTACCCTTTTGTGTTACAGTATGCATACTGCCTTAAAAGTGTTCATCTTGGGGACATTTTCCTTTTCTGCCTCATGTGGTTCTTAGTACTGAAAATTATCATTTCTCTACTTGGAATAGGGATCTGGCGCAGAACCAGCTTACAGGCGACATCCCAAGGCTAATCTACTGGAATGAAGTTCTGCAATACCTGTAAGAAATTCCCCTGCATCATGTTGATTTTGCTTACTGATTCGCTCGGGAGTCGGTATTAAAAGAAGGTGCTAACATTTTTATCCTCTTCATTCAGAGGCTTGAGGGGTAACTCACTCACTGGAACCTTGTCACCTGACATGTGCCAACTCACTGGCCTGTGGTACTTGTAAGTTTTGTGCTTACTTGGAGGTGCTGCTTTATATCATGCAAACTGATCTTATCGGCACTGATATTTCTTCCAAATCTGCAGTGATGTGAGGGGCAACAATCTAACAGGAACGATTCCACTGAGCATAGGGAACTGCACAAGCTTTGAGATTCTGTATGTTGCTTGCTATGATTTTATCATCGATCAATGTATTGGTGCTCATTTGTCAAGATTTTTATTGATTATAAATTTCATTTATGGACTACAGGGACATTTCATATAACAAAATCTCTGGAGAAATACCTTACAACATAGGTTTCCTTCAAGTAGCTACACTGTAAGCCTTCCTGATTTTACTCAAATTCTCTATACTTTAGCTTATCTGCACTATTGTAAAGTTGTAATATACTGTTCTATTATTCAGACTTACGCTAAATGCTTGCATTTATCTTTCGTAGGTCACTTCAAGGAAATAGACTGACTGGGAAAATTCCAGAAGTGATTGGCCTCATGCAAGCTCTTGCTGTTCTGTGAGTAAAGCACAACTCTTTAGTCTGCATAGATGTTAGCTGCTGAAATATTCAATAATGACTTTTTTCGTGTCTGACTCTTGTTTCTCAGTGATCTGAGCGAAAATGAACTAGTAGGTCCCATTCCTCCGATACTCGGCAACCTATCCTACACGGGCAAACTGTTAGTATCATCTGTAAGCCCTGTTTTTTCACTGAAACAATATTCCTTTTCCATTAACACTTTCTGGCTCCGTTTATCTTCAGATATTTACATGGCAATAAACTTACTGGAGAAGTACCACCAGAACTTGGGAACATGACGAAACTTAGCTACCTGTAAGTGATTGTTCTCTGATGTTGATAATATTTTACTTCAATTGGTTTGAAACACTATCTGAGGTTTAGAACTTTTTCCATACAGGCAACTGAACGACAATGAATTAGTTGGCACAATTCCAGCTGAGCTTGGGAAACTTGAAGAGCTATTCGAATTGTAAGGACGGATCTTCGTACAGATCAATATTTCCTTTCATCTGTGCAATTCTTGACCAGTTGTATTTTTGTCTAGAAATCTTGCCAACAACAATCTTGAGGGTCCTATTCCTACAAACATCAGTTCTTGCACTGCACTAAACAAATTGTAAGTTAGAAATCAAGTGTCTTTTTTTCCTGAACCATGAGTATCTCTATCTTGGTGCTTAACAGAACTTATCCTCTTCAGCAATGTTTACGGCAATAGATTAAACGGTTCTATCCCTGCTGGTTTCCAGAATTTGGAGAGTTTGACTAACTTGTGAGTACATGCGTTTGTAGAATTTTGCTTGCATTACTAACTTAATTCATATTACAGCATTACTCTGTCTGAGCAGAGTCTCATGAATTGTTCTTGTTTCAAATATGAAATAACAGGAATTTATCCTCGAACAATTTTAAAGGCCATATCCCATCTGAACTTGGTCATATCATCAATTTGGACACACTGTAAGGAGGCCCTTGTATCTATATTTGGTTACATGTTCCTACTGCATCTACTATTCTACTTCATTCTCTAATATTGTTCACCCTTGTATCTATCGTTTTGGCTTAGGGATCTTTCCTACAATGAATTCTCTGGACCAGTTCCTGCTACTATTGGTGATCTTGAGCATCTTCTTCAACTGTATGTTCAGTACCAGCCTCTTAAAATTTGTATTTCATCTGATGTGGTCATTATTTTCTGATGTTCAAAATTATGAATGTAGAAATTTGAGCAAAAACCTTCTTAGTGGGTCAGTGCCTGCTGAGTTCGGAAACTTGAGAAGCATCCAAGTAATGTAAGTGATCACCCTTGTCATGTGTGTATTAAGTTCTGTTGGTGGTCATCTTATGAAGTTGCGATGGCTGATGATGATTCATCTAATTTCAACATTGATAGTGATTTATCCAACAACGCAATGTCTGGTTATCTCCCTGAAGAACTAGGCCAACTTCAGAACCTTGATAGTTTGTGAGCTCTCTTTCATCATGCTACTAGTATGAACTACTTTGATATCTGAAGTCCATACAAGTATTTTACTGATCTGTAATTTTATCATATATGTAGGATTCTTAACAACAATACTTTGGCTGGGGAGATCCCTGCTCAGTTGGCTAACTGCTTCAGCTTAAACATCTTGTAAGTTTTTTTTGCCAGCTCCGCCCTGCAGCATTGGCAATTACTTAGTCTGCATTAGCTTATTGATTTGTTTGCAAACTGCATTGGCAATGACATTTTTCAGGAACTTGTCATATAACAACTTCTCTGGACATGTCCCATTGGCTAAGAACTTCTCAAAGTTCCCCATGGAAAGGTATCAAATGACTCCCATCTACTCTGTTTGATGCCCCTCTTACTCCCTTATTTTTGCTGATACTAACCAATACCTGCACACAGCTTCTTGGGAAATCCGATGCTGAGTGTTCACTGCAAAGACTCCAGCTGTGGCAACTCTCATGGATCAAAAGGTATCAACCAAGTCATAAGCTGAAGTTAGCTTTTCATTCAATATGCTTTTAAACTCATGTTTAGGTACTTCCATGTTACAGTGACTATTCGGACAGCGATTGCTTGCATCATCTCGGGCTTCGTCATATTGCTCTGTGTTCTGCTATTGGCGATATATAAAATAAAGCGACCACAGCCACCTATCAAAGCATCTGATAAACCAGTGCAAGGTTTGTGTGCATCCTGTCCGTTAAATTGTAATCTATGCCAGAAAATCATCTTGTCATAATGGCACTCATCTCGATGTTTCTTAATCATGTTCAGGACCTCCAAAGATAGTGCTCCTCCAAATGGACATGGCTATCCATACCTATGATGATATTATGAGGCTGACAGAGAACTTGAGTGAGAAATACATCATCGGCTATGGCGCTTCAAGTACCGTGTATAAATGTGTGCTCAAGAGTGGCAAGGCCATCGCTGTGAAGCGGCTCTACAGCCAATACAACCATGGCGCCCGTGAGTTCGAGACGGAACTGGAGACAGTCGGTAGCATCCGGCACAGGAATCTTGTCAGCCTTCATGGCTTCTCACTCTCTCCTAATGGAAACCTGCTCTTCTACGACTACATGGAAAACGGTTCCTTGTGGGATCTTCTCCATGGTAAGGACCGGTGCCATTTTAGTTCACCTTGTTTTCTTCCGCACAATTATGGTCTGTCTCATGATCTATGATCTATTTCAGGTCCATCAAAGAAGGTGAAACTTGACTGGGAGACCCGACTGAGGATCGCGGTTGGCGCGGCACAAGGGCTGGCCTATCTGCACCATGACTGCAACCCTCGGATAGTCCACCGAGACGTCAAGTCCTCCAACATCCTGCTCGATGAGCACTTTGAAGCGCATCTCTCGGACTTCGGCATCGCCAAATGCGTCCCGGCTGCCAAGACCCACGCATCCACTTATGTGCTAGGAACCATCGGCTACATCGATCCGGAGTACGCCCGGACGTCGAGGCTGAACGAGAAATCCGACGTGTACAGCTTCGGTATCGTTCTTCTGGAGTTGCTCACGGGGATGAAGGCCGTCGACAATGATTCCAACTTGCACCAGTTGGTAAGTCATTTACACTGAACTCATGAGTCTCAGATCATATTACAGCTATCTTTTCATTGCATTGTGCAAGTCACTCATAGGAGTGAGATTGAAGTTATCTTTTGTCAACCACACTACGATCTTCAGCATGCATGATGTGCTGCAATGGTTTCCTCATATGATTTGATGATCTGACCAGCCTGTGTGTGTGCGTAGATAATGTCGAGAGCGGACGACAACACGGTGATGGAGGCGGTGGACTCGGAGGTGTCGGTGACGTGCACGGACATGGGGCTGGTGCGGAAGGCGTTCCAGCTGGCCCTGCTGTGCACCAAGCGGCACCCCATCGACCGGCCGACGATGCACGAGGTGGCCCGGGTGCTGCTCTCGCTGATGCCGGCCCCCGCCGCCGCAAAGCCCTACTCCTACGCGGCGACGGACGCCTCCAAGAAGGTGGACTACACGCGCTACCTGGCAGCGGCGACGACGCCCGACGACACTGCCGGCGACAACAGCTCCTCCGACGAGCAGTGGTTCGTGCGGTTCGGCGAGGTCATCTCCAAGCACACCATGTGACAGGGATCGACACCTCCGAAAATTTCTCCTCCCCAAGGTGTAGTGAGAGCTGGAAGTAAGGTGCAGGGAAAATAGGCGTAGGGTTTCTTTCTGAGTAGTACATGGATGGATGGTGCCATTGCTCTTCTTCACCCCTTCCCATTTTGTTCTTCTCTTGTTCTTGGTGTTGATGATCAGAGCTTCAGGCGCATGGAGGGCAGAGTTCTCGGGCATTCATGGTGTGGATCAGGATGATCTCGTGAGCGCCATGAAAGCCCCTAGCGAAACTTCATGCGCGGTGATGATGGCGATGACCAGACAGAGGGAGAGATACTGCTACTGCTGCTACCACTGTGACGACGATGATGGGTTCTTGGATCCTGTGAGCGCATTGAATTGAATTGATCGAACCCCATGCCCTGCCGCGTGACGCGTCGCCGGCAAAGGATTGTGCGATGTAAATGGGTGTTGTCCAGTGAGTCTGCTCCTCTGTTTTTTTTACTGTATTTATGAGCTTGCTGCTCTGCTGTGGTTTGCTTTCTGCCTCTGAATCTCTGAACATCAGTGTAGGGTGGCCGCTGCTGCTGCTGCTGCTGAACTGTAGGCTGTAGCAGTGTATATCAATTTATGTCTGTTTCGCCGCCCTGCGTGACTGTCACAGTGGATGGTGTCATCATGCACGCGTAGCTCATACCTCCTTGAAGATGAGCGAGCTTTGGCATTTAATCTGGTGGGATGAGATGAATTGAAAAAGATCGCATGAAATGGGCCACATTCTTCCTCTTTTACAATGTCGGTATGGCTTTTGTTTGGTTTGTTTGATTGCAATCCAGGGGAAAAACAGAGGATTAGTTTCCAGTTGATTGGAGTTGGTGCTAATCATGTAGTACAAACGATTCCTTCAGAAAAAAAAATCTTATCGAATTCAGTCGTGCGAATCAAACAATCAGGGCTTCTTTGGATTCTGTAGGAATTTTAAAGGTTTTGAATCCACACGAATTTTTGCTATGGAAGACCTTTGGATCGATCATACGATTGGGTTTACCAAATTCCTACGGAATCCATTCCTATACGCCCCTTGTTCCATAGGCGTTCCAACATGAGCCCAGACTTCTTTTTATTTCTGTGCACCATCCAGAGGGACTCATTGCAGGAAATCGCGAATCATGTAGGATTTCACACTGCGTACCATCTCAATCCAACGCTTATTTCTATTTCTATTTCTATGGTTCGGTATTCACGCAGTCCAAAGAGGGAGCAGCAAAGATTCTAGCAGTCCTTCAAAGATCCTGTAAAAATTGCTTTGAATCAAAGATGATGCCCCTGAATATACAGCCTGAGCAGAGCAGTTCTTCCCGGCAGGCAGGGCATGCGGACAACGGGGGCTCCTGTTGCGGTGTCAAACCCTTTCGTTGGATGGCTTGTACACAGCACGCTAATGTCTCCTCCTCGTCAGCTAGTCAATGGCAGTTGTGTCCTGCGACTGCGACTGCGGCTGCGATCACACGTCCTCTCAGGCTCAGCCTCAGACTCGGGGACCCTGCGTCCCTGCAGACGACGCGACGTGCCATGCCGTGTCCGGTCTCGCCGCAGCCTGCCTGAAGAGCCTCCGGACTGAACCCCCTGCCCGCAGCAAGCTACCTACAGTGCTGCATGCCATGGCTGGCACGGCCCCCGGCATCTCCTTCTCCCGGACCGAGACCGAGCAGGGCCGGCACAGGTGTTCCCGCAGCGACGCGGGCACTGTGGCGACGCGTACTCACGACGACGGCGCCAGCGTTGGGCGGGCGTGTGGCATCGGCGCATGCGCCCGACGCGTGCGTGCCCGTGCTGTCCGATCGATCCATCTGTGGAATGTGGAAGCGATGCCATGCATGCATGCAGCCGGCAGGCGTGCTGAGGCGCGTCCTGTGCCGGCCGGCGGGTGCGACGGCCGATGAGGCGACGACGCTTTATTCCTCGGCTCCTGCTCATGGACGGGACGGACCGATGCGCGGGCCGCTGTTGATGGGAGGATTCGTGGTGTACGTACTCGGCTGCCGGTGATTCCTCATCTTCTCGTCGTCGTCTCCGGGGCCCCCAGATCGACCTCCGGGCCGGCCCAACGTACCAGTACACTACACTTCTACTGCGCCGGCACTGCTCGATTCGTTCGGCTACAGCTGTGTCCTCTGGAGACACCCGTGGTGCCGCCAGCTTATTAAGCAGCGACGCAGCTCCTCGGATGAAGAGGCACAAAAATACATGCACACGTGTTCAGTTTTGTTGGCTTCTTCCCTTCTCCTGCCCCAAACTTTGCATCCCGTTACTTCAAACCAATGGAGCCCGGTTTAAAAAGAACAAAAGTTTTGCCCTCTTCCTCTGCGCGCTTCTCGAGAGTTGACAGCTTCGTCACACGAGATTCATTCACGATACGACCCGGGAAACTAAGGAGAAACATTTCGCAGGGCACACAAGAAAACTGGGGGATCAATGCCACACAGCAAGCGAAAAACTTTGCCAGATGCTTTGAACCGGTGGTGTCGTCGTTACAACTTCAGAGCCCACCACCAGGCGCACCAGGTCAGGTCAGGTAAGGTAAGGCAAGTCGCTCTCCCCAACAATACGAGCTATGGCTGGCTGGGTTGTTTTGCTTCTCTAGCTGTACAAAAAGGGTTCGACGATCTCCGGGACGGCGACGAGCAGCCAAGGAGCTACGTTAAGCCGTGCGAGAGAGGCCGAGAACGGGGCAAATCGGGCTGGTCTCTGGGAGCAGCTGCTGAAAACTGGCCGATGCCGGAGATCGCCGGGGAGGGCAGCTTAACGGCGAATAATGTTTCGCTTCATCCATCTTGTTAGACTTAAGAGTCGGAACCCTACTCCAAAATTAGACGCTTTAACCTACAAGGTGTGGAGAAGGGCAGTGTCAATATGCAAACTCAAGTTGCAACGTTTTCGATCTTAACAAGAAATCATACTGTTGTAATGTCTGTACACTTTTACTGCTCCATCCGATCCAAATTAATTGACGCAGTTTTAGCATAACTTTGGTACAAAATTATGCTAAGGTTGCGCCAATTAATTTGGATCAGGGGGAGTGGCCCGGTTAAATTCTTGCGGTCGTGAAGAAGAAATGGAATCAATCATGAGATGCAGTGCGAGAAAGTATGCGTTGGGAGAAACATGTTTACCTTTGTGCAGGCTGTCAAAGAGAACTGTATGATATTTTTCCTGACTAAAGTCGGTCTGAAAACAGTTTAAAAAGTGTGAGGTTGTAAATGCAATTCAGCAAAAAAGTGAGAAGCGACCTATAAGTAATAACAGCAGGTACCTTACCAGGTAGTTAAAGATACCGCTTACTAGAGCTAGCAATGAATGGCACCAATCATGTTCTCTTTGCAGTCCTTGCAATAAAAATAAAGGAGATATTTCAGCACTTTGAATTCAGATTAGATGGGAAGGGATCGCAAACGCGAAATGAAAGGTTAGCAAGTGAATAACCTTGGTAGTGATATAATTTGGGCGTTCACTGGTCTGGTGGCCCATGGTACGGCAGGCTTCGGTACTTAAAGAAAGCTGCCAGAACATGCGTCGATATCAGAGTGAACAGTGAGGTAATTTGAAGGTGATCCATTTTTGTTCTATCAGTACATACCTTGTTAAAGAGTTCGGATAATGGAGGCTGCTTGCTCTTCCGGCTTGTTGACAAGTTGAATTCCTAGGATTGCCGACCAGAAGATATGGATATTTTGATAAATGGAAGGACTAGGGGAAAAAACAGATGAAAGGATACGGCGAAAAGCTAACCTTAGGCACTGTAGGATTTCTTTTGGCAGTTTGAAATACACCGATGTCTCCTCTGCTTGCCAATATCTGTTGAAAGGAGAAAATACGACAATCATCGGTGCGTCTGTTGTCTGAACTAACTATATGGCAAGAACTATCCTATACTTATTATGTAGTTGATCATTATGCAACTTCTGTTCCAAATGGATTTGTCGCATCAATGTAAAGCAATTAACACCAAGAACATAAATTGCTCATCAAAATATCATTTCAATAGCCAATAGGGCACTCTGGAATGTACCTGTGGAAACTAGAAGGTTTGACTGAAAACTAGCTCATAAATAAATATACAAGACCTGTACAGGGCAGATACCTTTTTATCCAGTGGCAGAGCTTTAAATTTAAACGTGCCCGTCGTGCCATCTCGGTCATCTTCTGATGTTTTATCAATGCTGTTAGCAGACAACAAAGAAATAGATAGTGTCACTTTATTCCCAAGTTCCAGTGTTTTTTGCAGAACTATATGTAAGACCTTATCAGCCCTTATCTAGATCAAGACAACTCTGCCTTGACAAACACTAGAACAACAGAAATAATTATAAGATCTCATCGTAAGCAATATATTCTTCCAATTTGAATATCATATAGGATAGATTAGAATTTAGGTAACTGCAACCAAGGCAGAAAATAAGAAGCAAGCTTACTTGTGAAGACTAGTTGCACGGTTAGATGAACACACTGGCGTTTTTGGTGCAACATTGACATGTTGTATATTTGCATGCTGATGTGCCCGAAAAGGTTGCACGACCTGATTGAAGAGAAGTTCTGAATGTTGACTCACAAGATCTTGTATAAATATAAAAGAAAGACAATAAATAAGGCATGGTGCAATCTGATATCCCTCCACCTAAATGTGGGAAATGACCATTGTAGATGCACATTGGTTCAAGTTCAACTGCCGAGGGTAAATAGGAACAAACTGAACAGATTTAGGCTTTAGCCAGAGGATTAGACGCAAAATAGTGAACAAGCCACAAAGACAATTAAGGCAAAGCTAATTACAAGCTATGGTGTACGAGTAAACAGCTACCATGAAACATTGATATACCTAACCTATATTCTCTGCAGATCCTTACATTTATCTGTTTCATGGGAAAATAGAACATCAGCAAAACCAGTCCTGAACTGTTCGACTATCAGTCCACAAGAGAAATGTTACTGGAAATATATCTTCAGTTTCCCACAAAGAACATATT